ATTTTTTACAGCCAAAACCTTTTGAAATATATATATATATATTTTAAACAAACTAATATTTTCTTATCTTTGAATTGTGGTGGTAGATTTGTCTTCTGTATTGATTGTCCCTCAGCTAGTTTTTATTATTTCTCTCAAATTATTTTTTGTTGTTTGTAATGTTTGATTATCTATAAGTGTGATGAAGCAAAATAAATGTAACATCTGCCTGCCATACATTGAGCTTCTGCCTGCTGAACTTATCAGCTGCTGCTCTGCTTCATCATCTTAACAGAAGCACGTTACATTAGCAAGATGGATTTATGACTGAACAAACATCCATGTCTTTTTAATCATCTCTGTGGGTAACAATACATAAAAACAAGTTTTTCTCTACAGTCATTAAATCTTCGCTCTGCACAACGTGCAGCGGGAGGGAGGGAGGAAATGATCCCACGACACTACGGCATGAGGTAACTTTTCTACAGCAGGAGGGGGAAATTTTGAGGATTCATTCTCTCTAAACGTGTTTTAAAATGCTATATTTCTTTACTTATTTTCAGAATATTTCAAACTACTCCTACTCAGTTGTCTCTGCACTCAGCCCTGTTGGCACAGGTGCGATGATGTAACTGACGACAGGACGGTAGAGGGTAAATTTCTACCGTAGGCCAACATCATATGGTTTCTACCGTCTACCGCATATATCGCACAACCCTACATCAACATGACAACATCAACATGATGACATCATCAACAGGAGGACATCATCAACTGGACAGGACGACATCAACCACATGACGACATCATCAACATGACGGCAACATCAACAGGACAGGACGACATCATCAACATGACGACATCAACATGATGATATTATCAACAGAACAGGACGACATCATCAACATGACAGGACGACATCATCAACATGACGGCAACATCAACAGGACAGGACGACATCATCAACATGACGGCAACATCAACAGGACAGGACGACATCATCAACATGATGACATCAACATGATGACATCATCAACAGGACAGGACGACATCATCAACATGACAGGACGACATCATCAAAATGACAACATCATCAACATGACGACATCAAATCAACAGAACAGGACGACATCATCAACATGACAACATCAAAATGATGACATCATCAACAGAATAGGACGAATCATCAACAGAATAGGACGACATCATCAACATGACGACATTAACAGGACGACACATCATGTTGATGATGTCGTCCTGTTAATGTCGTCAAGTTGATGATGTCATCCTATTCTGTTGATGACATCATCAACAGAATAGGACGACATCATCAACATGACGACATTAACAGGACAACATCATCAACATGATAACATCATCAACAGAACAGGACATCATCATCAACATGACATCAATGTGATGACATCATCAACGTGATGGCATCATCAACAGGACATCAACAGGACAGGACGACATCATCAACATGACGACATCATCAACATGACGACATCATCAACATGACATCAACAGAACAGGATATCATCAACATGACATCAACAGAATGACATCATCAACGTGATGGCATCATCAACAGAACAGGATGACATCATCAACAGGATGACATCAACAGAACAGGATGACATCATCAACAGGATGACAGCGTGTGCGGCTTGCCGTCTCTCCGAGCTGCTGTTTGGTCTGTTTGTTGTTTTGTTGCTCTTTTTTAGCTGGCATGATGTGTCTGCTCTTCTGGTGTATGATCGCCAAGCCCTTTTAAATACTGGGCAGTGTCAGAAATCATTAACGAAATGGACATCAGAAAACGCCTCAAACGCACCACCCTTCCCATCTAACATACCGGCCTACCTGCGTCGCACACCTGTTGGCTGTCAGCAAAGAAAGCCCTGGTGGATACCGGGAAAGCGAGGAGGCATTTTGGTGAGGATGAAAGCTCTCAGGAGGTCATCTGAAGAGAACCTCCGATCGTGTTGGAGTGTCTTTCCCTCAGTAAGATGGATCCAGCCTGTTTTTCCTGGATTGGCGTTGGACCAGGTTCACCTGTCAGTGGTGGCCCCTCCTCCCTGTCGGTCCCGGAGACAGCAGCGCGGTGTGGAGCCCAGCAATCTTAGCCTGTTGAGTCGAGCCTCATCTACGGCCATGGATGATGTGGTGGTCYGTTCTGCTCTGATCAATGCTAGATCTCTAGCAAATAAAACATTCATCTTGAATGACTTTTTAAAATCACAAGAAATGGATTTTATGTTCTTGACGGAGATATGGCTTCGAGTTGGTGAGTTAACTCTGTTCTCAGAACTTCTTCCTCCTGGTGGATTCTTCAGCTCTCCTCAAACTGCAGGCAAAGGTGGTGGAGTCGCTGTAGAATTTAGATCCTGTTTCTCATGTCAGCTGATTTCATCTGTTTCTCCAGCTTCGAGGCTCAACTTGTGGAAATAAAATGCAATTCTCCTCTACTTTGTGTGGTGATCTACCGGCCACCCAAGTATAATAGTAATTTTATTCAAGACTTTGCAGACTTTTTGTCAGCTTTGATGCTTGATTATGATCATATTTTAATTGATGGAGACAGTGGTGGGCACCAGCCCGCTAAAGTGCAAATCCACTAATTGCGGACCTAAATATTTCGTTTACGCTTTAGTGGTCTTACTAATTTTTTTTAACTCATAAGCAGATTTGCGCTTTCTAAAATTAAAATGCAGTACTGCTAATAACTAATTATCTACCAGTCACTATTATCTTGAACAGTGGAAGGTATGGCTCTCAATGAATCACAACACACATGATCTGTCCAACAGCACCCCTCCCAGATAAACACACTTATTGAGAAGGTATACATCCTTGCTGAGTGTTGCTTTCGGTCACGGTTCTGATTTCCCACAATGCTTTGTGTCTGCTTACATTGCAGGAAGGCAATAGCAAAAACTGTTAACGTTTGTAATCCATACTAAAATTTTGTATGTATTGATTTATTTTACTTTACAATCGGAGCTCATTTTTAAAAAAAAAAAGTTTAAACGCTGGAGCTCAATACTTGACGTAATTGGTCGAAGCAACAAGGTTAGAGATGCAGAAATGATTTAAAGATGTTATGCTGGTAAAGACTGACATCTAGTGGTCAACTGGAGCAACTACATGGAAAACTTTAAAATCCAAGCCCTTATTTTGAAGGGAAGATAGTTTCCTGTACTGCGTGCTTTCGTTTCCTGTCACAAATCAAATCCGTCATGTACCCAGAATGCATCGCTTCAGTTTTCCAATAAACAGTTTTAAAATTACTTTATTGATGCTTCTTTAATGAAAAATCTACAACAAACAAAAGAAAAAGACAAAGAAGCAGCCGAACTAGCAATCCTCAACAACTTTTTAAAGAATCAGCCGAACTAGCAATCCTCAACAACTTTTTAATTTTTACACCAGGAGCTGAAGGTCTGTTTCAGGAAATCACATCCCCAGCAATCGGCGGTTGTAGAATTAAGTTGTAAAAGAGTTCATACACCACTTAGTTGGCAGTGTTGTGTATATATTGTACATGAATTATTGCCAGCTAGTAAGTGTCAAATTGAACTTGCGCTTTAAAATTAGCTTCAGCTAGTTTTCCTATGACATAAATGCTTTTGAATTTGCGGACCTAAATATTTTCATACGCGCTTTAGAAACTGCGGAGCTAATTTTTGGATTAGCGCTGCCCACCACTGGTTGGAGAATTTAACATTCATGTGTGTTGTGAGACCAAGCTGCTGATGAAAGACTTTTTGAACTTAATCTGCTCTTTTAATTTGAATCAGTTAGTGAGCGGTCCAACACATGAAAAGGGACACACTTTGGACTTGGTTTAAACTTATGGTTTATATGGACATGTTAATGAAATTATTGATTCCGGTATTTCTGATCATCTGCCTGTTTTATTTGAATTTAAGTTTGTGAAGCCTGTGCCTGATTTGCGCGCCTTTGTGCGCTCCCGTTTTCTGATCAACGCACAGACAGCCTCAAATTTTAAAGCTGCTTTTACTGATTTGGAGCTTCCTTCTTCGGATGTTCACCAGTTTAATTGGACGGTTTTAATACTGTTTGTACTAATATTTTAGATCTTATTGCTCCTTTTAAATCTAAACGGGTTAAACTAGCTACAGAGCCCTGCCTGAATGATCCCACTCGTCCACTTAGACGCAACTGCTGGCACGCAGAAAGGAGGTGGACAAAAGACAGGCTTCATATTTCCTTGGAGTTGTTAAAAGATTTTTTATCAAAATATCAGGCTGCTGTCAAAAATGCAAAGAATCCTTTTATCTCAAATTTTGTGTCTGAAAATATCAGTCAGCCTCAAACTCTTTTAAATTCTTTGAACTCGCTTTTAAATCCTCATGATTCATCTTGCCTGACTCCTTCTGCTTCACTATGTGAAAGGTTTTAAAATATTTTATAGATAAGGTAAGTGCCGTCAGGTTTGTACCTTTGCACAACCCTGATCCTGTTATTTCACATTCATCTCCTGCTGTTTTAGAGTGTTTTGAATCTGTTTCTCATTTTTCTGAGTTAGTTCAACACCTGAGGCCTTCATTCTGTCCAGGTGACTTTATCCCCTCTAGACTTTTAAAAGAGGTCTTTACCGTTGTTGGTCCATGGGTAGCTGGTTTTGTTAACATTTCCCTTCACTTAGATTGTGTTCCAGCTGCCTTTAAACATGCCGTCATTCAACCTCTTCTTAAAAAGAACAACTTCGACCCTAACAACCTTTCAAATTTTAGGCCAATTTCAAAGTTGCCTTTTCTCTCAAAGGTTTTAGAGAAGGTGGTTTGTCTTCAGCTACAGGACCATTTAGAGCTGAATGGAATTTATGAGAAGTTTCAGTCTGGTTTTAGGTCACGTCACAGTACTGAAACAACTCTTCTCAGCATGTGTAATGACTTGCTTTTAACTGTAGATTCTGATGATTCAGCTGTTTTAATTCTTCAAGGTCTCACTGCTGCCTTTGACACAGTGGATCATGAAGTTTTAGTATATCATTTGGAACTGTCAGTTGGGGTGAAAGGCTCAGCTCTTAAATGGTTTGAGTCCTACTTATCTGATACTGTAGGAGTTTTTCTCTACTTATTGGAGATTTTTATTCCTCAGAGGCTCCTCTTGAAACTTAAGGAAATTTTGACCTTTGATCCAAGATGGCCGACTTCCTGTTGGTTTTAGGGCCTACCTCCAAAAGACTTTTTTTCGTGATTTGGGGAGATCTACCAACGTCCCAAATTCCAGCTCTCTAGGACATACCAGTTTCTCTATCTCACGTTAGGTGGCGCTGTCAAGTCATTTGGCCACACCCACTAAAAAATTCCAATGGAATCATGCGATTTTTGCCGGGGGACAATTTTGGGTGAAGTTTGGTGAGTTTTTGAGTATGTTAAGGCCTCCAAATGGGCCGTTTATTTCGAATAAATGTGGGGTACCTCAAGGCTCCATACTGGGCTCCTTTTTATTTTCTATTTGCTCCCACTGGGGTCCATTTTCAAGAAATACAATGTGTCATTTCCTTTTTATGCAGATGACATTCAGATTTATTTACCTTTAAGATCTGACAGACCTCAGCATATGGAGAATCTGCACAATTGCTTAAAGGACATTAAAAGTTGGATGGAGCTAAACTTTCTTTGTCTAAATGAAAATAAAACAGAGGTCATTGGGTTTGGAAAACTGACCTGCTGGTAGGATTTAACAGTGCTGTTGGCTATTTGGATTTTGATTGTCATTTTATTAGGAATCTTGGAGTTCTTTTAGACAATTTTAAATTTGACAAGCAGGTCAGCGCAGTGGTCCGGTCTAGTTTTTATCATTTAAGGCTCATCAGCAAAGTCAAGCCTGATCTTCTACATGATACTTTGCATTGTTTTGCATGCTTTTATACTACTGTTTTTATTTAATTTTATTTTTTTGCTGTGCAGCACAATGGTTGCCTTGGGGTTTGTAAAGTGCTATATAAATAAAGTTTTGATTGATTTTGATTGATGACATCATCAACAGAACAGGACGACATCATCAACAGGACAACATCATCATCATGAGACAGTCTAAAGCCGCTGATGATTTACCTCAAATGCTTCTTTTCATGCAGGTTTAGAAAAACTCAAAAATACATAAAATAAAAAAATAATGTCTGGATCCAAACGATCAGCTCAGACTTTTATCAACAAAAACAAAAGATTTAGAAAATTTTTAAAATCCAGTTTGGTTCAAAACTATCACTCAGAGTTGTAACGAGTCAAAGAAAGTTAAACTGTTATCAGATTTAATCAGATCAAAAGTTATATTAGAGGATTTTACTCAACTTTTCATTAATTTTTGTTTTTACAAACTTTATTTACAAAACAAAAAAATAACTAAATAATTCATGTGTTTGTTTTGAATTTAATCTTTGAAAATAAGAAGTGTAGAGGATCTGCAACTTTTATTTATTATTACTTCTGTCAGATTCAAGTTTTCTGCGACCACTCTGGGTTTTTCTTTCAATAAATGTGGGGTACCAACAATTCTGTCCACATGTATATTTATAAAAACACTAATTTGTGTTGTTTACCTCAAGCTTGAAGCACATTCTGTGGCTCTGAACAGATCAGAAACATAAAGAAATGATTCTGTTTCAGACAATTCATCAATAAGTGAATCATAAAAGTATCATATTATACAAGTTAAAAAATGAAAAGATTTTTCAAACAAAACAAAACAAACATTTGATTTTAAAATAATTTCTGGACAAAAAAAAAACAGATCAAAATATATATTAAAAAAAGATTTAAGATTTTTACCGGTTTTCAGATGGTCAGCAGCTTCGTCCTGCAGCCTCCTCTTCCTCCAGCTGCTCTCTCTCTCTCTCTGTGTGTGTGTGTGTCTCTCGCCCGTCTTCACAGCATCTGTTGTGGGACAGGAGGAGGAGCTCTGAGCACAGACTTTCCTTTTGTACGACCCTCCTCCACCCTCCTCTTCCTCAGCAGAGCTCTTCCATGACGTTTCTGCTCCTTCTGTTTATTTTGGTTTTTAGGAACGCAGAAAGCTTTTTTTCCCCCCCAGCTTCAGACCCGAAGCTGCAGAGTTGATCTCATCAGACGGCAGCTGCACGTCAGGACCAGCTTCATCTTCATCAAACCGCTCAGCTTCCTGACGTTAAAGCATCTCAACAGATTCACTCTCACACCTGTTGACTGCTTCAAACCAAAAGAAAACCATCTGTTTTATGTTGTTTAGGTCACATTTTATAAGTTTCACCTGGAATGAAAGAAACATGAAAACAAAAAGCTGTAAATAAACAAAGACTGAAAACCAACTAGAACCGAACCTGAAATAAGATCTGTAAATCTGTGGGTTCTGGTTTGATTTATACTTTAATTTTAGTGAAATCATTTTCTGCTGCATTTGAAGCTTTAATGATCAGAAATCTTCTCAGCTGAAGAATAAAGACTCATTTCCTGAGAGCTGCTAAAGGTCAGAGGTCACAGTAAACCAGAGGGGCGACGCCCATCCGGTCTCAGAGGAGGAACCCACAGCAGCAGAAAGACCTGCTGACCCCCAAACTCATGGCTGACCTTTGACCCCCATCAGGCAAACCTCAACAGCTGGAATGCTCCGACTAAACTTTCATTAGAAGAATGGTACAACGGACTGTACTTTTATAGCACCTTTCTATCCAATCAGGACACTCAAAGCTCTTCACACTACATCTGTGTCCTCATTTACCCATTCACACAGCATGTACATGTACAATCATCTATGGAGACTGATCAGAGCCAATCATTCATACACTGACGGGACACATCAGAGGCATTAGGGGTGAAGTGTCTTGCCCAAGGACACAACAACTGGGACAGCTGGACAGGGGATCGAACCAGCAACCTACCGGTTCCAAGACGACTCCCCCTAACCACTCTGCAACAGCCGCAGAAGTTTCACACTGAAGCTGCAGGTTACAGCTCATCAGCTTAGAGAAGCTGAAATCTGGCTCGTGTTCACAAAGTCAGAGTGGCTTCGGCTCGTTGATCAGCTGAAACTGATTACAGCTGTTTAAACACACAAAACTATAAACTATAACAAACAAAACATGAGTGTAAAAGATGACTCAGTCTGTGAGTCTTCATAAGTGAATGGTTCCTTTTGTCCGAGTCGTTAGAAGTTAACGATTTGATTTGCCCGAGTCATTAGAAGTTAACAGTTTGTTTTTCCAAGTCGTTAGAAGTTAACGAGTCGTTAGAAGTTAACGATTTGTTTTTGTCCGAGTCACTTTAAATGAACTGTTTGCTTTGTCCGAGTCTTTAGAAGTTAACTGTTTCGTCCGAGTCGTTAGAAGTTAACGATTTGATTCGTCAAAGTCGTTAGAAGTTAATAATGTTATTTGTCAGAGTCGTTAGAAGTTCAAAGTTTGTTTTGTCCGAGTCGTTAGAAGTTAACGAGTCGTTAGAAGTTAACAATGTTATTTGTCAGAGTCATTATAATTTCACAGGTTGTTTTTTCCAAGTCTTTAGAAGTTAAGGATTTGTTTTGTCCGAGTCACTTTAAATTAACGATATGATTTGTCAGAGTTATTAGAAGTGAACGATTTGATTTGTCCGAGTCGTTAGAAGTTAAGTTTGTTTTGTCCGAGTCATTAGAAGTTGTTTGTTTAGTCCGAGTCATTAGAAGTTAACAATTTGATTTGTCTGAGTCATTAGAAGTTGTTTGTTTTGTCCGAGTCATTAGAAGTTAACAATTTGATTTGTCTGAGTCATTAGAAGTTGTTTGTTTTGTCCGAGTCATAAGAAGTTAACGAGTCGTTAAAAGTTAGATTTGTTTTGTCCGAGTCGTTAGAAGTTAACGGCTTGTTTTTTCCAAGTCTTTAGAAGTTAAGGATTTGTTTTGTCCGAGTCTCTTTAAATTAATGATATGATTTGTCAGAGTTATTAGAAGTGAACGATTTGATTTGTCTGAGTCGTTAGAAGTTAACGAGTCGTTAGAAGTTAATAATTTGATTTGTCCGAGTCATTAGAAGTTAACGATTTGATTTGTCAGAGTCGCTAGAAGTGAATGGCTTGTTTTGTCCGAGTCACTTTAAATTAACGATATGATTTGTCAGAATCATTAGAAGTTAATAATTTGATTTGTCCGAGTCTTTAGAAGTTACAGATTTGTTTTGTCCGAATCACTTTAAATTAACGTTATGATTTGTCAGTTATTAGATGTTAACAGTTTGATTTGTCCGAGTCGTTAGAAGTGAACGGTTTGTTTTAATGACAAAAATGTTTCAAAGTTTTGGTCTTATTATTAAAGTAAAAACATTTTTAGAGAGTGGGGCATACATGTGAAATAAAATTAATTGTTTTGGGTAAATTTATCCTTATTAGAGACTCCGCCCCCCCCCGGATCAGAGCTGTTTTGTGTCCTGCAGCTCAGAGACGAGCAGCTTTCAAAGAAGAAAGTCTGCAGAAGACTTTTGTCTCGTCGGCCATCTGCCGGCTCGTGGGACGCTCTCCACGGGTGACCCCTCCCATTCTTCACAGACAAAGACCCCCCCTCCCCCCTCTGACAGGCATGAGGCCTGAGATTATTCAGCTGATCTGTTATTAATGCAGAACCGCTGCGGTTCAGAGGAATGACACCTGTTCAGGAAAAGTCTTTGAATGTATTGATTTATTTTAGATCAATATATTTTATTCTTCTGCTTCAGTTAAAGGTTACAGAGCAGCTGACGGAAGACTGAAGTAATAAAACTCTAAATATAAACTTTAAAAGGCCTTCCCTCAACAGAAAACTGATTTTAATTCAGTCTTATTTAATTTAAAATATTCATCCATCCATCCATCATCTATACCCGCTTCTTCCTTTCAGGGTCACTGGTGCCCATATCCAGCAGTCTCAGTGTGAGGGGCGGGGTCCACCCCGGACAGGTCACAGTCCATCACAGGGACACACATAGAGACAAACAACCATTCACTCTCTTACACACACCTAGGGACAATTTAGAGTTACCAATTATAACCTAACAGTCATGTTTTTGGTCTGTGGGAGGAAGCCGGAGTACCCGGAGAGAACCCACACATGCACGGAGAGAACATGCAGACTCTGCCCAGAAAGGTCCCCGGGTCGGGGTTTGATCCGGCGACCTCCTTGCTGAGAGGCATCAGCTCTACCAACTGAGCCACCGTGCCGCTTTAATATTTAAACTAGAAGCACTCGGAGAGTGCAAACCTCCGCCAAGACCAATTTCCTCCATCCTCCAAGATTTAATGCGTAAAAGCAGAGATGGAAACACATTTGCCAAATAAGTTGTGACGTAGTGAACATTTAAGCAGGCAGTATGCACGGGATTTCTTCTCTATGGAGTCCAATGTGGAAAACAAAAGTCAGACTCGTCACCCGACGTTATTCATCATCAAACTGGTGTGGGATTAAGCTCCTAAGTTTTCAGTCACATTTCACCATGTAAAACGTCTGTTTTATCTCCTTGTATGAGTTTGTAATGGTTTGACTCTCTTTATAAAGTGCTTCCTGGCTCCCCCCGTCTCCAAACTTTGAGGCCCGGCAGCTCTCTGTTTACAAGCGTAGTAGAGAGAAACTGTTTTGATTGGTTGTTGTGTTTGAGGAAATGGGAGAAATAGGTTTCATGGTGCAGTCACGCACTTCCTGGTCACAAAACGTTCTGTAAATGTGCATATTATGGCAAAAATTATTTATCATTAAATGTGGTTTTAACATTACTTTTATAAAGTTTGAAGTCCGTGCTGTCCAATCCAGCTCACCGTTTTTTACAGAAGCCCTGTGAAAGCATCACAGCTTTGCCGATCTCAGAGTGTTAAAAGAAAAATATTCCTGTATCGGCACCGTGATCCGGAACATCACCAAAATTTAAAGGTGTGTTCCTTGGCCCAGTACACACATGTGGTAAAAATGTCATGACAATCCGTCCACAAGTTCTTGAGTAATTTTGTCCACAGACAGAATGACAGACATAGGCGACCGAAAACATTACCTCACCCTTGGAGGTAAATATTGAAAAACACAAATCAGTTTTTTCAGTTTCTGCTTCTTTAAATGTTTCTTCAACAACAACAACAGCATACATGTCAACTTGTACGGATTGTCCGTTAGTTATAAGGATTTTACGTCATTTTGCAGGTAAACGGACGTATAGGGCAATCTCATGGATTTTTTCAAAATCTCATTTTCAAATTTATCTAACATGTCAGAGCCTGTAGGATGATAAAAAAAAAAAATCAAATAGGCATCTACCAACCTTTTTTGTCGCTAGAAATAAGTTTTGAACTTTTTCCGCTCTACTTTCCTCCTGTTTCGCAGCAGGCGCTCACATCTCCGCGAGTTGTACGGATATTTTGTAAAAATTTACGGATTTTTTTAGGCTTTTTATACAGGTGAACGTCCGAAGAGATGGACATATATGACAAACGTATTAATCTTTTTGATTTGTGTGAAATGTTGGTGTTTTCTGTTTTAATGATGTCAAAGACCTGACAGTGGATCAAATAGATCCTGCAGAGGCTCTGAGGAGACGTGGACCTGCAGACTCTACAGATCCTCGTCTTCTGACTGCAGAAGAAGGAGGAAGCAGAGCTCCAGGAGGGGGCGGAGCTTCTTCCTCATTGAGGGAAGTGAGGAGGAAACGAGGGGGGGTTCTGTTTCCTGACCCGGCTGACTGGGGTCCTTGTCCCAGCTCGGAGCAGACAGGTGGAGGCGGGGCCGAGTGTTGGGTTTGGTGTGACTCCTGAGGAGGATCTGAGACCTCCTCCTCCTCCTCCTCCGTCGAGGTCTGATTGGATGAAGAGGCTGTTGGTGTCGGGGAGTCCACAGATGATAATCGGATCAGAACCCAGACCAAATACAGTTTACTTGAACCGGTCCAGGTGGGTCGCTGCAGAACCAACAAATCAGCATCAGAATCACAGCTGACCCGAGTCCAAACCTCCAACAACACGGACCGTCCAAGAAACCAGAACTCAGGTTCTGATTACAACAAACTGCAGGAGACAGAACAAACGTATCAGAACTAATCAGAATCAGAACCAGAACCGCCTGAAGAGCGGTGCTCGATTAGCTTGTTTGATTTGATTTTTTTTATAGACGTGACTCAGAACTGCAGAACTCTCTGGGTCCAATTTAAAACCAGAACATGAGCCCAAACAAACACGTGTCCACAGGGGTTCTGTGGGCCCAAAACCCGAGTCAACGAGGTCCAACCACTGGATCAACAGAGTCTGAA